TTTCAAATGTAAATTTATAAAACTTTAGAACAAGCATTTCAAACCATTATAATAGTACTTACATGAACTTTAGATATAAACAGATGATGCATTTTGATGGAGATAAAATGTATGCATAATTAAGTAGTTGGTTAATCTATGGTCTCTATAGAACCCATTTTAGTCCTAGTTTTAAATTTTGGTAATTAAAGTATTGTTATGGCTAGTCAGCACAATTTAGTTTTCATGTGATTGCTTCTGTTTCTCTAGAATAGCCTCCTTACAGAGTGATCTCACCAGATGGAGTGATCTGCTTTTATAAAGTGCTGTTTCTAGATTCCATATGGTTGTGTATATACATACATATATATATATATATATATATATATATATATATATATATATATGAATTGGACAGTAACTGGATACTGTCATGTTACTATCAACTTTCTGAAATCACCGTAAAGAGTTGGTATTCTCTGAAGCTATAGTAAAGCTCTGGCAGGAGAGCAGATATTCTTAAATGACTTGTTTGTAACCATCACATTTGGCTGTATGCCTGTATCAACTATTTGATGATTATCAAGTAATGTGTTTAACAGGCACAAAGGAACTGTAGCATATATTCTAATATACAAGAATTGATCTTAGATATATAAATATATCTGTCACAGAGATAGATTTATCTAGGAATAACTTTTCCAGTTATGAAATGGTTCTAATCCTATACCTAACAAAATTAAGTACCTCTATTTCTCAAAATTTGGAAATTTCTAAGACACTGGTTTTCTCAGCACAAAAATTGATTAAAATTGTCTTTTGTATCAAAATGGGAGAATCTTTTAGCCATTATCCTCTTCTTTCCATGAATGAATCCATTAGACTGTCTTCCTGTGGATTTTAGGCTGTTTTATAGAAAGTGTAAGAGCGCCATGGACAGAGAAGGAGAGAAAAAAAGCCCATTAGTCCATTTCTCTGAGGGAATAATGTAAGGAAATCAATTTTATCTCAACACTACTATTGTATAACTTCATTGGAATACAGAAAAAGAAACAAAGAAGTTAAGCACTAAGTAATAATATCTTTGTAACTATTTTTTAGGTTGTAGGAGGATAATAGCTTGTGTCTCATTAGTTTATGCTGAAAATCATTAAGTAATTAATTTGTCTATATGTGGTTTGAACTGAGAATCCAGTGGCTTTCAGAAAAAGAAAAATAAATGATTTCACTGTGTGTATTATGTAGTCACATCTCTGGGAACACAGGATTGTAGAACAAAATTTGACTTGGCTTAAAAGTTCAAATTCAAAATGTTCCTGTTTTCTCCCATGGATATATGGAATATGGAAACAAGGAAATTGGGACTTCTGTTTGTTACTAGTCAGGGCATGTTTAACACCCTAATTTCAAACATGGTTGAAAAGATAAAAAGCATCACAAATTCATTGATTCAAATAACCTTAAAAATGAAGACAAAGGGAAATTCCTACATATGTTAAAGCATGAAAAGGCAAGAAAGAAGAGAATCCTAGACTTCTTGTTTCAGTACTTATATGTTCAATACTTATAAAGCCATACTTCAAGGATGTAAGGCAGAAACCCATTGTCATTTGAGGTTTCAAGAATAATAGCTAACTGTCATCTTATATCATCTAAAGTGAATTTCTAATTCCCTCGACCTCACACACAATAGCTAAATATAAAGGGGAGATAAACTGTCAGAAACATCTTGCTTCTGAGGCCTTTCTAATTCCCTTTAGTTTCAAGTCTTAACCAAGCCAAATAAAGTTGAAAAGTAGGGGATGCACTTCTGTTCTTTATGGCTGTATAAGCCATAAGTCTCCTTATCATCTAGTAAGGAGGGCCCTGGAATATTGAGTTTCTTATAAAAAAAAAAAGCATTTCAGGATGAAGTGGTATGAAGTGAGGCTAGCATTTATTATGAAAACTTAAATGATCATTAAATATCCTCATTAAGAAAAAGTAAGAAACTTAAGAAAAGGAGAGTATGCATTTAAGAATATATATATATATATATATATATATATATATATATATATATATATATGGATTTCTAAAGAGAACCATGCTCATATGCTCATATTTCACAATTATCACAAACTACACAATTTTGGTGGTTTCTGAAATTATAATGTTTAAAAAATTTAATAATGGTCTGAAAAAATTCTAGGTACATTGGAGTTACATTGGAGAAAAGTTCACAAGGATAAAAAGAATCCTTGTTGACCCTTTCCCAGTTTTCCCTCCACAAATCTCCTATTCCTTCTCCCTTCCTGCGGCTTCTATGAGTATGCTCCCTCACCCACATGCCTACTTCTGCTTCACCATTCTAGCATTCCCCTATGCTGGGGCATCAAACCTCCAGAGGACCAAGGGCCCATTGTTGCCCATTGATGCCCAACAAGGCCATCCTCTGCTATACATGCATCTGGAGCCATGGGTCCCTCCATGTGTATGTACTCTTTGGTTGCTGGTTTAGTCCCAGGGAGCTCTGAGGAGTCTGGTCGGTTGATATTGTTGTTCTTCCTATAGGGTTGCAAACCGGGAAGGGAGATAACATTTGAAATGTAAATAAATTAAATAACCAATGAAAAGATTTTAAAAAGAATTGGTAAAGTCCAAATACTGACAATAAAAATTGTACAAAAATATTTACATTAATTTTTGTAGTTGCTCAAACGGAGCCAACTACTATGATAGTCTTCAATGAGTGGAGGAATCAACCAATTATATATCATAGGTGGAATATTACTCTGTGATAAGAAAGAAGACAAGCAGGAGTCTAATATCAATATTTATAAATGAAAAAGTCAGTCTGAATAATCAACATATTGCATGTTTTCACCCAGAGGACACTATGGGAAAGACAATTTATAGAGTGAATAAGAGATCAATGATGGCCATAGATAGAGATGGGACATGGGGAACCAGAGACCAATGATATTATAATAGTGCGTTAATAACATTATATATTTTCAGAACCCATAGAATTGTACACAGAGAAGAGCAGGTAGCCAGGCAAACTATGAACTTTAGGTAACTACAATCAATCAAACATACTTATCACTTGTGACAAATGAACCATACAAATGCAAGATGAGCAGAATGAGGACATGGGAATCTCTGTACTCACTGTTAAACTTTTCTGCAAACCTAAAACTGATGTAAAAATATATATGCTAATAAAACAAGCAAAGTGTTTTTGTTGAACTAAGATAGAATTAATTTAAGACAAGGATCATTCTCTACATACTAGTGAAAAAGTTCATAATTTTGTTGTTGAGATTCTAGGAAATATAATTCAACTGTTTCCATCTTGGAAAGGACTTAATTTAAACTCAAATGGCATAAATACTGTGTATTTAGCATAGTTAATTGCTTTTTAACATTATTATATTAATTATGTCTTTGTAGAAAGAATATTGTATCTTTGTGGGCAATCTTCAGGAACATTTCTGATAGTTTTCAAAAGTTCTTCAATCAGTAAACCGCTTCATTAAGGCTAGAGTGTGAAGAACTCTTCTCTGTTCCCAGGTCCTCTTAATATTCAGATTACTTCCAAACCTGCCTCAAAAATGTGCTTTAGCATATCATGCTCTGGGCATCAGTGATTTCAAAATATATCTTGCCTTTTTCTTCTTAACCTGCCTTTGTTATAGAAATACTTTGTAACTAAGAACTATGTATATATACCTTATATTTTTAAATTTATTAACTTTGTATAAATTTTTTTTGAGTCTCAAACCTCATGGATGTCAGGCAAATGATATCTCATGAAGTTATATTATCAATCAATACAAATTAAAATTTGAAAATGGAATGAGATTTGGGATTTTAATATATATATTAAGTATATATGAATACTTGAATATGAGTATAAATTGGCAAAATAACTGTAGCATCACACATGAAGGGCAAGTCTTTTAAATGTTTCACTTCATGTTTGTATGAATCCATATTTAGAAAATATGATGCAGAAAATCATCTGTACTCACTAATAGCATAAACCAATGGTATAAATAAAATACTTGACAGGCAGCCAAATGATATTATAATATGTAACAGAAAGGACTAAGGGTTAAGTTGGATTCTTGCTTTTTAATATTAAAATTAAGCCTCCGTATGTGAGATAGAAATAAATTTCAATGACTCCTGTAATTTTTTTCTGAAATACAAACAAGATACAACTTTACTTTTCCCATATCTGTTTTAATTCCTTATTTAGGTGATAGAGACCAACAAAGTATCTAAATAATGCTCTGCTGTTAACTTCCTTTAATATGCCAAATCGGTTTAATTACAGTTTCTATAAATAATCTATGCAAAGTATTTCCTGAACAGAATGCACTTTTCCTTCTCTGTGTGGCAAATTTTAATACTTAAAAGCATTAGAACAGATGTTAGGTGCCTGCTAAACTTGTTTTCAGTTTTCTTTTATTTATATGTTAATGAGAATTTAATTACTTCATGAATACTTAAACAACCTGAGGGTGCCTGATATCATTAGCTTGAACATGACAAGCACCTCAAGTGACCACATGGGAAGACAAAAATTGCTTTTAGTTTACTTGAAGACAGAAAGATGAATTCATTTCACCCCCTGCTATGTTTTACCTGACACACAAAACTGGAAAAGCACAGATTCAATCTTGCTTCAACATGAGTGAAAAAAAAATTCACCAAAGCACTCAGAAGCATAAATTCTTCCTATTTGGTTTTGCTTCAATGTCTTTTAATAACTACTCAAGCTATACTCTGCTCTAAAATCTTATTTCACTAGAAAAGTGTTCGGTGGAAGTAAGTCAGTCTTTTTTAATGGACTATAGAAATGAACATTTTAAACACTATTTATGATTTTTGAAATGCTTCTCCATTTGGCCACAGTTGAAAGAGTTTAGTTGGAGAAACCACGGGGAAGATGTAGCTATAATAACGTTTGTAAATCTTTGCGTGTAATATTTGATAACATATCGAAAAGGTAAATTTAGTGATGTTAACTGGTTGCCTCTAGAGGCATTGCATGAGTGGTTACTGTGTCTCTTGTGCATCAGTAGGTGGCAGAGAAGACAGAGGCTATGTCTAAGCTCAGTATTCTGACCTGTGAACAAATGTATAATTAGCATTAACGCTCACTGAAATAAAGAAAGCCGGAGATGACCACTGATCCAATGCCACGTGGGTCTGTACAGGCTCCGAGGTTAGGGAGCAAGCTCGTGGCTAGAAGAACCCAGTCTAGGATTTTGGGCCTCCAGCTGGAGCAAGTCAAGAATGAGTAAGGAGCAAGACAAGGATGACCACCAGTCTGGCACCATGGGGCTCAGAGTAGGAGCTAGCCTGAGACAATCACCAGTCTTGCCCCTTGCAGGCCTGGTGACAGACCATGTTCAAGATGACCCCTGCCTGTACAGACAGGGCATAGCACTCCTAAGACCACTCCTGAGATGATCCCAACCACGCAGAGATTCCAGGAATTACTAAGTGGAGCAAGGAAGTGGTAGAGAGATGGAAAAGAAAGAAAGACAGATGGACGTGGGGAAGTGAAGAGAGGCAGAATTGGAGACTCGATGGTACTGTGGAACAACCTTATTTCAGCAGCCTGTGATGCTCCCTGGTTCCATAGTGCAGTTCTGGCTTGTGCTGCCACCAGAAGCCACTTCTGGATCGGTGGCTTTCCAGCACCCACAGGTCTGTTACCACCAAAGGCCAGGCAGACATCCCTGAACTGGGCTGCCCCTGGGGACATACTGATGTCTGAAGGTTGTGCAGAACTGGATCTACCCCTTACCTGAATATTTTGGGGGAGCCAGACCTAGGGAATAAAAGCAAAAGAGCTGACTCTACTACCCCTAGCCAGTTACAGTACTCAAGAGAAAGGGACCATATGTTTCACAGAAATTCGACGTAAGCAGGCCCCGAAGGTGTGACAGTAGGAGAGCTGACTTCACCACTTTTCTCTTGTTGCTGTGACCTGGACGGAGAAAAACAGTTTTCCCTTCCCGCAACCCCCACCTCAAGAAGCAGGTGGGAGACCTGACTCTGGGGTCATGAAAGCCAGAGAGCTGACCCTGTCCCTCACTAGCTGCAGCACTCATTTTGTAGAGAGTGTCATCCACCTGTCCTCAGACACCTAATAGATCTGACTCTAAAGGCAACAACAGGATATCTGAAATGAAGTCCCAGGAAGGTTCCAGGATTAATAGTATAGCAGAAGCCAGCGGACATTGTACCAGACATGACTTATTTTAATGAATATTTGCAAACAAAGAAATGTGGACAATGGTGTGTACTGTGGAACACTGAGACACAGGACAACTTCAATTATGATTTTTTTTTCTGCTGTGGGGAAGGGTGCAAGGATGGAGGAGAGGTATGATGGTATGGGGAGGTGAGTAGGATTGGGGTGAAGGATGTGGAACTCAGAAATAAAGAATAAAAACCTAAAATATGCTAATTAGTTTTGTGATACATTTTTATGTAAATGAGTATTGTAAGTGTTCAAACTCTGTCACCACAAAAATGTGGCATTTTTGTCATGCTAAGTGATTTTATTGTAATTAAATTAAGAAGATATAAAAACAGATTTAGTGTCCTCAGCATTTAACCTTTCTTGCTTCTCTATCTCCAAGTGCAAGGACCAGGGACTTTAGAGCATTATTTGCATCAGGAACAGACTTCATCCTCCACCCTCACTCATAAATATCGTTAGTTATTTCAGAAAAAAATACTAAGGAATACAATTACACCTCTGTGGCTTTCCTTCCAGTATGAGGTCTATCATTTGAGCTCATTTATATTTCAGAAGAGACTGTCTCCAAGACCCTTTCCTCACTCAGAAACACTTTATTGTTTTTTTTCTTTTTTTATATAGTTTTATTTATTTTTTAAATTAAATCACAATTTTTACTTATTCACACAGGGAAGAGGATGACATGAAAGCTTGGGTGTTCAGGGGGAGTACAGATATCTTTCAGAACAGAGTATCGGCTGAGTGAAGGTTCAGAGAACAGATCAGTATGACTCTGCCTATGATTCACTTGTCCTTATCAAAGTTGGTATTACCCGCCAAGGCTACCTATTTACAAGGTCTATGACTACTCAGGCTTGTAAATTTCCACAAAAGCTGCCTGTCTATAATAGCTTATAGCCCTCTGTTTCAATATTTTTCCACAGAGACCCAAGACTTGGTGTTAGTATACATGTATGACAGGCCTATTGGTGATTTTAGGCCTATGGCTGATTTTAGGCCTTCAGTGTATAAGCAGGGCTGCCCCTGACATCTCCTCCCTTCTCTAAGTATAGAAGGGCTGTGGCAATTCTAACCTTGCAAAGGTGGGGGTAGGGGCCTGACCTCCAGTATTTGAAGGGGACCTTGCAATGGCTCTGGTCCCCCTGTTGTTGTCCAGTGAGGCATGAGGGCCATACCCATCCCGATGTCTTTTTCCTGGAGAGGGGATACTTTTGACATCAACCCCTATGCAGTCAGGCTTGTCCCTCAGGGAACCCAGAGAGATATTTTTAGCTATTATTTATATTCCCTTGCAGTGCTTAGCCTCGAAGCCAAAGCAGGAAATCAGATAGCCTGTCAGGGGGTTCTGGGTGGCCCCTCTCTGCTTGGTCTAGGGGCAGAATTCCCCTCTTTTAGGATGGGTGGAGATGGGTTTTAGGAACACCCTGGATAGAGTAACAACCTCATCTTGAGTCTCATGGTCCTCCATAGCTAACTTATGATAATGTATCTGAATAGGTTTTGTTATCAAATTATTTATCTGTTGTTTCATAAAGTTGGTCAGTCTATTTAAGGACCGGAGACCAAAAAAAAAAAAAAAAAAAAAAAAAAA